GCAGGCGCCGGCGCGGAGGCGAGGCCGGCGGGGCACGACGCGCCCGCGGCGGGACACTCCACCCTGCCCGCAGCCCCCAGCCCGCCGCTCCCCGCCCGGGACCTGCACACACCAGCCCCCACATGCAGCGTCCCGGAGACGGGCAGGCCGGGCCGCGGGCGCGGGGCGCTTACCGGGGGCGTGGGCAGGCAGGCCCGCCGGATGGCCTCGGAGCTGGAGTGCAGCGACGGGTACTTGTGCTCAGGGAGGGTGGGATGCATGGCAAAGTGGGGCTGCTTGCTGTTCATGGACATCATCTTGGCGGCTTGGCATGTAATCCACAAACACTCCGAAAGTCCGCGGGAAAGTGCGCACGCCGGCTCCCCCGGCCTCCCTCCGGAGGCTGCGGCCGCGGGGGTGGCGGCGGCCGAGCCGCGGGCTGCTGCCGCTGCTGCTGCCGCCCGGCGCGCCCTCGGACCGCGCAGAGCGCCGCGCGCCGGCCTCGCGGTCCCGCTTCTCCGAGAGCTCTAGCCCAGCGCGCCGACGGGATGCACTCCTCTTACACCTGAGCCCCACTTCTCGCGGCCGGCACGGGGAGCTCTCGCGAGAGCTCGCGGCCCCGCCGCGCTGACAGGCATCAGCTGTCTCCGTCTGTCTGGAGCGCGCTCTCCCGCTCGGCGACGCCGTGCGTCTGCGCGCGCGCGCGCGCTCGCCCGGCCGCGGCCGGCGCGTGGGAGCCGCTCTTATAGTGACCACCAGCAAGGACAGCGCAGGTGATGCACCTGTGGCTGCCCGGGCATGCGCACTGCCCGCCTCACCTTTCCCACCGCGGTCTGGAGAGATCAGAAGGGGCGACTATTGTCTAAGGGCTGGCACCTTCCCGAGGAAGAAAGGCAAGATGCTCACACGCCCCTCTGTGGTTTTTTCCTCCCCCCCCGTCGCAAGCCCTGAATATATGCGCATTACTAAGTCACACCTTCTCTCCCGGCTGCCTAACAAGCTGTTATATAATGTATACAGCTCGGCATTTGTATGTTAAATTATGCCCGCGCATTCCTCTGTATACAGTATAAATAACAACACAGAAATGCAGAAGGTGCTGTCTTTTGCTGCAAGAACCTGTTTCTTTCAAGGTTTATAAATAGGTTCCAGGAGAATAATCGCAGTGACAGACGTTTGTTTGAAGCAGTCAGACGCTATTGATTTCCATATAATTTAATTTCCTCCGCATACTTTGTTGTTGTTGTTGTTGTTGTGAATATAACTGTGTCAGGCACCGCCAGTGACAGCCACTTAGGAGCCACAAGGAGCGTGTGCTTTCTACTCGGGAAAGGCTGTTGAAATGAAATTTTGCATTTCTCTTATTGTTTGTCACCTTTAACCGTGTACAAACCCACGTTTCAAACGAGCTCCGGATGATCTGAGGCTTCTAATAATCAAAAGGAAAAAATAGTTAACAGGGTGTAGTTGGGATCCTTTCCTTTCCTCGGCGCGCGCACACACACACACACACACACACACACACACACACACACTTTAGGCTGGGAACTCCAGGAAAAGAAAACTGCTTCGGAGAAAAGGGAAGACGATGTCGAAAAGAGAACTTTCTTTTTCCTTTTTCCTTTTATATATATGCATGTATATACATACACATTTCAATAGGAAACAAGATCAAGCTAACTTATAAGAAACCTTGATTCAAAATATTTATTTAAACCAATTTGAAAGAACAGGTACAGGCTCTTGTCTGGCCTTTAATTTTTTTAAAAAATTATTGCAAAAATCATGACCTAAGAAGAAGAAAAAATCAATTAGTCAACCTGTTATATGGACCTTAGGTGACAGGCAGATGAAGGGCCTCTGGGGGAGCCACAATCCAGGTGCCAGAGTCCTCAGGGATGCAGCGCTCGCCCCGGGTGATAATAACAGCCCAGATGTTATCACATCTGAGGCCAGAGAGCTGGAGAACGGCAAGGGGCTGCTTATGGGAAGCAGAGATCAGATAAATAATCTCTCTGGTCTCTCCCACACCAAGGAGGTCTGTATTTCCACCTAAGAGCAGGTCTCATTTCTATAAACCTAAATGTGCATCCCGTGGATTTTATCTTACCTCTGCACAAACGCGTGTGTATTTAGCATACCCACTCACCTACTCAGATTCTGAGAAGAGACCACAGGCGTCACCATGGCTTTTTCTTTTCTGTTCGCGCCCCCCCCCACACACACACACTCCCTCCCTTCCTTCTTAGCTCAAGAGGGAAGTGAGAAGGATGTTCACTTGCTGGTGAGAGAAGGAGCCGCATCTCCATCCATTATGCGGTCCCCCGGGAGCGCTAAATGCAACTTTATCTCGACGGGGAAGGGACGATGAGCAGGACGTCGCTGGAGGGAAAGAGTGAGTCCTATGGAAGTCGTCGCACTGGGTGTCTAGGCTTTACCTAATCCTTCCTGACACCCAGTGCGGCAGTTCCCTGAGCTCTCCCTTGGGTGGGGGAGGAAGGATCCCTGCAGAAGGTGAGGGCCTGGGGCCTGTGCCTCTCCTCCTGAGGAAACACTGACCTGTAGGGACTGAAGAGTGCAGGGCAGACAGAAGGGCAAATGGCACAGGTTTGTGGTCAGGTGGACTCACTGAGAACACAGTGAGCTCCTTAGTATCCAAAGGGCATCTCGGGTTACCCTGACCCTGGGAGGCCTCCGGTAAACCCAGCTGGGAGGGGCCAGCCCAGCTTGAAGTCAGGAGTTCATCATCCCTCCAGGATTCCCTTCCCAGTTCATGTTTCTTTGGACAACAGGAATATCCTGCCTTTGGTGAAGCCAGACCTTTGCCCAGAATATAGGACTTTTTTCTGGGACTAGAAATATGAGTGCTGTGGGTACAATTTTCCTTTCCCTTCCCGCCTGGGACACATCTGTCTTCCCCTATGGCACTTAGCATGGGGCTTGTCACACAGAAAAGTACCCCATCAAACAATGTATGTGTGGACAGAGGAAGAGAGGCCAGTTGGGAGGGCGGAGAGAAAAAAAGACAGAGGGGATTCAGCAAGCCGGGTCTGACTGGGGATTATAGAAAGATCCCTGAAGGGCTCTCCTCTCTGCTTAAAAAGGAAGGGTGGGATTTCCCCAGGCAGGGTTTAATATCTTGATTCCAGCCTGTTCTTTTTCAGAAGCTGATTATTTCACCCCTCCCTCATTAACTTGATAACACAAATTCCTTCCCCAAATGCTTGCTGAGCCCTAGTCTGGGACAGCGCAAGACTTTTTTTATTGGAGATAAAATGACATATAACATAGGAGTACCTGGAGGTGACAGTGTATGTGCACGGGGCAGCCACAGGTAAAAGGCATTTATGGTACCTGTATGGTTCCCGAGAGGGGATTGAACAAAAATATGGGGTGGCATGATACTTGGAGCATTTTCTCATCCCTGTTGGGCCTCAGCCCCAGGCTACAGAAGCGGGGCATGCTGGTGGATCTGTAGACAGTTCCCTGGGCTACATGAGGCCTCTCCCTACTTACCTCATGATGGGTAAAAGAAAAGACTGGTGGGCTTGGGCTCAGCCCACCCATATGTCACTGTTTTGTCTTCCTGGTTTGGCAACTGCTGTAACTAGTTGGCCCCTGCCTGTGCTAATGATACCCACACAGGGGCTGAGTCTTGGCATGGATTCCTGGGCATTTTTTTCTCCTCCCTATTTAATGACCAACAGGGATCTCGTCCCCCCCCCCCCCCCATCTTATAGCTCTGCATTTTATCAGGAGAGGGATAATGAATGCATGGTTATTGATTTCCAAGGAATTTCCGCCCCCAGGGACATGGAGTCTATCATCTGGATCAGAGACACATTTCTTTCCCTCATTAATTAATTTTCTCCTCCTCCTCTGGCAGGGCTCACTCCACATTTCCTTTGGCAGCACCCCTTTCCCGAGCTAAGTGAGGACCGGTGGGAGAGGCTCTGCGCAAGGGGCCCGCGCTGTCAGGGGCGAGACCTCCTCGCCTTTGACCTGTCCTGCCACCCGCCGCCCAGGAGAGCGCACCCGACAGCTGCTGCCCACCTGGGGGCTGCCTTCCTCCTTCCAGCAGGGTGCGTGGGGTGGGGGGAGGATTGGTATTTGACTCTGCAGCCACTAACCCGCGTCCCGCCCCTCACCCCACACTTCCGGGGTTAAGCCCTAGTTGTTTGCCGGGGTTCAGAGTCGGGATCCGTTCCGGGAAGTGTGGACGTGGGTGCGTGGAGATTGTGTGTGCACAGGGGAGGGGGCGGGCCCCATGCTCCTGCTGGAACCCGGGGTTCTGGCCCCACTCGTAGGCTCGGAGCGCCCCATTTCTCGCCCGCGGTAGTGCAGGCGGAGACGAGGCACGTTTCCCTGCGCAGCCAGTGCCGGAGAGACAGGCGAAGTCCCCAGGGCCCAGAGGCAGCGGCTGCCGAGGCCTCTTGGGTTGTTTTAAGCACAGCGTGAAGGGGCAGGCGTGGGGAAGAGTAGGTCCAGGGAAGGGCTCGGGCCTCGAACAGGCGTCCGGCGACCTCGACTCCAACACTGTCTTCGAAGCGTGGAATAGAGAAGGGACCGTCGCTTCGCTTCTGGGCCGCCTTCCCAGGGCTGTTCGGGGCCGCTTGGATCCCCAGTCTCTCTTGTTGCTTCCCATGCATCTTGGCCCCATGCCTCCTCCTCGGACCTCTGTCCACAGCCCCAGACGCCGCGGTGCCGGCCCCTCCGTCCGGAGCGCAGCCCTGTGCCCCTCCCCTGAGGCCCGCGGGACCCACCCCGGCCCGAGGTTGGAGCCCAGGGCCGCGCTCCGCTCGCTGAGGCTCGGAGATTTCCGGAGGCCACCGTCCTCCCTCTCCACCTCGCCGTGCCTCGCTCCCTCAGCCGCTCTCCTGCCTGGTGCCCAAGGCCAGGAGTGGGTGAGGCACTGGAGCCCGCCGTGACCCCCTCTTCTAAGGCTCCCAGCTGGGCATTCAGACTGGGATCCAGCTGGGACCGGCAGAGGAAGTTCTCAAGCACACCGGTGGAAAACACACTGCTTTCGTTCTTCTGGTGGTTTCATTTAAATGCAGCTTCCCTCGGGGACATTTTCCTGGACCCTAGACACCCCACCCAGAGCTGTCGCCACCGAGATGCTGCGTCCCAGCAAAGTTCACTGCCGGTCACTCCCACTCTTGGCGTCACACCTGCAGGTACAGACATCTGTCTGTACCCCCACAGACTCTCTCTGTGGACAGACGACCCACCTACCTGTGAAAACCCTACGGGTGACGCGTGACGACTACGTCTCTGTCCTAGCCGGGGCTCGGACACCCCCGCCCGCTAGCTGCCAGAACCAGTTTCCCAGCCCAAGTGAACAACGTAGCACGGGTTGACGTGGCCACGGGCCCCTGGGCTTGAGATCCCGGGAGGAGCAGAGGCGTCCCCGCGCTGCCCGGGCCCGTCCCCCTCAAAGCTGGAAGAGCGCGCCGGGCAGGGCAGGGGCCTCCAGGTCCCGGCTCAAAACAACAAGCACACACGCGAAACTCCACGACAGACGCGACGGCCGCGACCCCGCGCGACCGGATGGGGAGTTCTGTCGCCTTCCCTCTCCGCGCACGGCCGCCCGCCGGCTGCAGCACCGGGACGCGCGCACGCCGGGTCCCGCGGGCGACCCGCAGGCGTGGACGGGCCGCAGCGGACCCCCGGCTCCCCCAGGCTCGGGTCGGAGGATGGAGAGGCTCCTCTCGGCCTCCGGGAGCCGGATCCCCCACCCGGCCGGGACGCAGTGGAGGAAGCCGCGAGGCCGCCAGTCCAAACCCAGGAGCGCGGAGCTGGGTCCCGCCGCCCGGCTCAGCAGCGCGCCGGCGCCGCCGCCAGCCGCCCCTCCTCCCCGCCGCCCGCACAAATCAAAGCCCCTTGCGAGGGACTGGGAAATAGTTGCCTTGTCATGTAACACATTGCCCTGATTTATTATAAAATTTTAACGAAATCATGCATATTTTAACAGCCTTTAATCACTGCATGAAAATTTAATTCATGGACTGTAGCGCGTTTAAATAAATGAAGTGTTAATTCATTAGGATTAATTAATTTGTTAAAGGATTGTGTGCAAGGTTAAGGTGGAAAGAAAACTCTGCTGGTCTCGCGTCTTAATCGTCAGGTTTCGCGAGTGGTAATAAAATGGAAGGAAACCACAGAGCGGGCCGCTGGGGTGGGGCTTGGGCGGGCCGGACTGGGGGCGCCCTCCGGAGCGCGGAAACTCCGGCTGGAAGGGCGCGGACGGGTGGGTCTTCCCGAGAGGCCCGGGAGCGGCGACGGCGAGGGCGGGAGGGAAGGAGGGCTCGGGCGCTGGCGGCGGGGACCCCGGGAGACCGAGATCGCTGGGCGGGGGAGGGAAGCTGAGAGCCCGCGCTGGCGGGCCGGACCTCACCTCCCCACCCCGAGCACAGAGACCCCGGGAGGAGGCGAGGTCGCCCCCTCTGGCCCTCAGAGGGCCAAGCGTCGTCTTAATGGACAGATGATGGGCCAGCCCCGCCACTTCCTAAGCCTTCCAGAGCCCAGGGAGTCACTGTCTCGCCATCAGGCCGCCAGCCCGGGCGGCTAGGGCGAGCCCAGGGGCCCCGAGGGACTCCAAGAGGAGGAGCAGCGAACCAAACTTGTAAACTCGGGCTGGAGCAATCCGGGAAGCCGTTTTTCAGTCAGGAGCCCTGACGTTAAGGAATGGTTTCTTCAGCGCCTCTTCTGAGAAAGCGGCTAAGCAGACGTCTCCTCCAGCACACCCGGAGGCATGCTGAGCAGAAGAGACTTCGTCTTACGAGCCGAACTCTTACTCGTTCTTCAAGACCCAGGACGAATAACAGCTCGTTTTCTCTCTGCCAAAAAGCTACCAGATTTCCTCACCGTTCCACGCTATCCCCAACACGCGAACTCTTTCTACTCACAAATGTTAAGAATTAAAATGGATGAGAAATACATCCCCCTCCCTCACAGTAAGTTTTAGTCAATGTCTAAGTCAAATCCTTGCCCCTAGGAAAAGGATCTTCACACCCCCAAGTTACAAACGTTACACAAGGCCACACTTCACACTTGTTTAATCCAGCTAACATTTATCAGAAAGGAGAGAGAGAGAGAGACAGAGAGAGACCTAAGAATCCACCTTCTTGTTTCAAGACATAGAGCTGTAACTCAAAGCATTCTAGACTGCCTCAGTTATATAAAACTGAAGATCGTCCTAGCTGGCGCTCCAGATGAGTTCTGAAAAGAAATATGCATCTTAATAGGCGCTTCCTCGCTCAGAGTGGGGTTCCGAGAATTAGGCAATAAATGTTCGCTGTGCACTCTGAGATCATTGCTTAAAAGGTTTTCTCTCTGCCAAGTATTATTAAAAGGATCAGGTTACATCGTGATAGGCAAAGGCTGTGTTGTAGGACTCCCACAAATAGGAATGAGGCTTTGGGAAACCCTTCTAGCGGAACAGAACACATAGCATAAGCAGTTCATCTCAGTTTGAGGCCCTACACATACCATCCACAGGTACAAAAGGGTAAAAAAAAATCTATTATATGTACTACACTTTGAATAACTGAAAATCATTCAGGTATACAAAAACAAGACGTTCTTGAAACATCATATGGTTCAAGACCAAGCTCATCTGTTGTTCAGTAGTTGTTTCAAACCAATGTAGATGACCACAAAGATGATAGGAAAACAAAGATTTGAAATTAAGAACTGTAAATCCTACTCCACTTTTCTGTCAGCTGACTTAATGAAATACGAAAAATATGTCATTTTGGGGTGGAATAAAGACTTTAAAGATTAAAGGATGAATATGAAAAAACAAACAAAAAACAACCAAAAAAACAAAACAAAAAAAACTCTCAAAAACACCCTAGCATCCCTTTCACATTCCTGTAGCCATAACATTACAGAAAGTTTTCTTTTTCGAAAACATGAACCAATTGTCTGCTTCTTTATCACCAGTGCATCTATTCCTAACCAACAGGGAAGGTTAATCTAAATGTCAAGAATTGTGAATTTTTAAGTGGCACACAACTGCCTGTCATTGTGTTTCTGTTTAGTAATCAGACTCAGGAACTAAATGCTGCTTGAAAAGAACATGCTAATACTCCCAAAATACTTATTTGAAAATAATTACTGGAAAATTTCAAATCCACTTATCCTTCGGTCTACAAATGTGAACACTCACACACGGGAGAGGAGGAGCACAGGCTCCAGGACATGGTTCTACCCCTTCCAGCCACGGGATCACCAATCCTCAATTTGCTTTTCTGTAAATTGGTGATAATAGTACTTGGCTCACAGGGGCTTAAAAGGGGATTTGATGAGAGGCTAGTTTAGCAAAATAGATGATCTCAGCAAAAGACAGTTTGTGTGTGTGTGCACCTATTAGGTATTTTTAAAATCTGAGACCACCACATTTGTTATGACTTCAGATTATGGTAAAATGATTAACAGCGCAAAGAGAATGTGTGATTAAAATCAAATTCTGCACAGATTAATTATTCCCTTTAATTGAGGAATGGCACAGGTTTAATGAATGCATGGAATACTGTTTTAGGAACCAGAGAGACATGTTTCTGAAGATAAGCATCAGTGAAATACTATAGTCCAACACAGAAGCTCTTATCCAGGTTTGTCATTAGTAAGTCAGGTTACACACTCCAGATGTACATGTCACAGTATCATTATATTTTTAGATTAAAAAGACATTGGTTACAGACAGAACTAGAATGAGGCCTACCCACTGCTCTTAGCTCATTTGGGGTGATGTAAAAAATATCCTAGACTGGGCAATTTTCAAACAACAGAAATTAATTGATCATAGTTACGGAGGCTGGGAAGTCCAAGATCGAGGCATCCCAGATGTGGTATCTGGTGAGGGCTCACACTTTTTGCTTGATAGATGGCCTCTTCTAGCTGTGTCCTCACTGTGGAAGGGGCAAAGAACACCCCTCTCCTGCCTTTTTAAAAATAAGGGCACTAATCCCATTCAGGGGGAGAGCCCTGATGGCCTAATTGCCCCCAAAAGTCCCACCTCTCAATACCGTCACCTTGAGGGTTAGAAAACATGAATTTGAGGGAGACATCACAGCACACCTAAGTTTATACTGTGACCGAAAAATTTTAGATTTCTACATTTGAGTTTATAATGTATAACTATATTATCAAAGATATTTAAGCTGCTAATAGCTTTGAATGTATCCATTAGCTTTAACATATCAAAGATAATAAAAAAGTTATTGGAAAATATATATGATAAAACCAAAATTATACTTTATTCCCGAATCTAGTATAACAAAGGTCAGTAAATTTTTTTCCATAAAAGGTCAGATAGTAAATATTTTAGGCTTTGTAGACAATATGCAAACAAATGAGTGCAGCTGTGTTCCAGTAAGATTTTATTTAGAAACATTCACATTTGAATTTCAGTTCACATAATTTTCCTGTGTCATTAAAAAAAATCAAAAATGTAAAAAATTTTTTTTGCCCACAGGCCTTTCAAAAACAGGTTTAGGCAAGATTTGATCCATAGACCATAGTCTGTTAACTTCTGTATTATAAAATCGATTTTAAAATTGTAAGTTTTCCTGGTCTTTATAAGCTAATTCAATATCTGAGGCAAGGAATTATCATCAACATCAAGGAACACAGTGCTTATGACATCCTTTATTTAATTCACATAGAAAAGCATGCAGTATTAATGTAAAACAGTACTGTATTAATGTGAAATGTTCAGTGCACATTAGATACACAAGTCATTATCACACAAACCCATATTTGAAGGCCAATATAGGCATACCAAACATGTTTAAAATAACAGATTTTTTCAGAGCCTAAATTAAAAATTGTGCTTTACCTCTTACCTATCCTCACCCCCTCAACACTCTTCATGGGGAAAAAAAATGATGTTTGTCCTACATAAAAGATATTCTATTAGCCAATTGAAATTTCTTTTTCTTTAGTATGGAAAACACAGCAAGCAAAAATGCTACCATGCATACAGTTTCCACAAAGAACAGTAACATGCAAACAAGAACTTTATCACTCCCAAAAACACTCCCCTGTGATGCAAGTGGATCAAAAACTTGTCAATGAGCTCCTCTTTTGAATCTCTACATCTGAAACAACAAAGCTACAGTTTTTAGGCTCTTCTACAACCAACTGCTCCATGCCTTCTTTCCAAGTATGTTCAATTTCTGACTTTACACACACACACACACACACACACACACACACACACACACACACACACGAGCAAATATCGGCTACCTGACATCAAACAAATATTTTCATATACAAAATTGTATTCTTTTTTACTAGGACGTTTCCACAAAAACTGGACAAAGCATACATATACATAAAACCTAAAAAAAAGGTAAATCAACACTGGACTAAGATTAGAGTGCTATTTCTCCATCATGGCCTTGCATAAAAGTTAGGCCATCACTAAACATAAATAAAATAAACAGGCAAAATAATTTCCACTCTAGAAAAAGCTTTAAAGAAATTTAAATGTCTTATGAACAGTATGTAGACAAAACTAAACATTTTATTTAAGAAGTCCAAGTTCTGAAGATAACTAAGGCTTACTAACAGGCCACTGTAGCTAACAGTTAAATAAGATTAAAAAAAAGAACAATGTACCCCCAACCCAGACACATAAACTTTGTTTAAAAACAAAAGGAAAAAAAAAAACCCCTCTCCCTAACTTCTCTGGTCAAAAAGATGCCCAAATAAAACTAAAAAGACCAAAGTTTTTTCAAAATGAAAAAAAAAAAGAACAAAAGTATTCTGGGTACAGGTTAATCCATCATTATGACTTGACACCTAACAAAAGATTATCAATTCAAAATTATAGAACTTTTGTGAAAGGAAAAAAAAGTAACTTTAAAAACTTTCATATTCCTCTCAGGACAAAAACATAAATGACACCTTTCTAATGAGTCAACTTTTAGTTGCTTTTGATGGGCTGGCATTGGAAAGGCTGCTCTGGATTTTTCTTTTTGTTGATTGATTCACGTTTTTATTCCTCTTTTCAGGCACAAAGGAAGTAGACCAAGGAGACTGAAGGTGGTTAAGATTGTGCATCTCAGAGGACATCTTAAACAAAGATGACCCAAACCTTTGATCTTCAAATAGTCGATGTGAACTGCTTAACAAAACGCTGTGGGAAAACTCGGTTTGAAACAAACAGCTCGGGGGTTTGATTTCATTAGTTCCTGGATTAGAATTGGGATGGAGTGAAAAATCTTCATTCATTTCTTGGTCAGATGGAGAGAGGAGAAAAAAAGAAGTGGGTTTCCACTCATTTCCATTTTCTAACTGATCAGTAGTAAGAGAACCTTTGGAAAGGTTTAGCTTAGTTTTTTCTTCCAACTTATCAGATTCTTCAAGAAATTCACTACTTGGAGATGACTTTGATAACCCATCCAAATCCACTGACTTAAAACCATTATTACAAGGGCTTTTGCTGTTGTCTGACTCTGACATCATTGAGTCCAACTCAGAGATTTTGTCAAGGTAAGCAGCATCCATTGATGCTTCACTAGATGTTCTTGTCCGATTCATTTCAAAAGAGCGAATAGAATTCAACCTCTTAGATAAACATGAACCTGATTTCTCACTCAATTTTGAAGATATTTCTCCAACAGAATTTGCTATCGTGTTCCCCTCTGAACTTTCAAAATCTAAGTTTTGGACATAGCTTGTAGAACAACAGTTCCAAAATCCTGTCTTTGGGGAAGTAAAACATTCTGATTGCTTTTCATTTTCACTTCTACTTATATCATCTTCTGAAGAATCCTTATTAGAAACACTTGAAGAATCACAAAAATCTTCAAACACCAATTTTCTGAGATGGTTTGAATGGTTTTTGGAACATCCTGCTTTGACTACAGAGTTCTCTCTATTTTCTGGAGTATTGAGCTGAAGGCAACTAAGGGACAGAGGAGTACAAGGAGCTGGAAGATCATAAAGTTCTTCATCTTTGTAGGATACACAGTCACTTGGTTTATTACCCCATTCTCTTTCCAAATAAGTATCCATACTTGTATCTGTCACATCTAACATTATTTCTACTGGTTTTTGATATAGGTCTTTGTTATTAGAGCAGCTGAGCTCTGTTTTGGGGGCACTTTCCTGCCTGGCAGAACTGGTGTCACAGTGTCTGCTGCTGGAGGGTTTTGCCAGGTGAGAAGAACTTGAGGTGGATGAGCCAGGCTGCTTTCTGGCACTATCACCTTGATTCTTGGATGCCACATCTTCCTCACTGCCTGTGTTTCCCTTGTCATCTGCAGAAAGTGACCTCTGGCAAATGGAATTCAAAGCTTCCTTCTCTTCATTTGAATTTTTTAGCTGTGAAATCTGAGATTCCAGTTCCTCTATATATTTATCACTTCGTTCCAGGGCTTTCTTGAGGCGATTGGTTTCACGTTCATACTGTTCTACTTTGGACTGAAGAGCAGCAACTGTAAACCTTCCAAACCTACAAAGAATGGAAGGAGAGTTAATCTCACAGCTCAAGATTTTTGCTTTTCAAAGTTAAGAGTGCAAACTGATCCATCCTATTCTAATTTCACATAACAGTGCCCAATGAATAGGGCAAAGGCCAGATGCATTATTTTCAAAATATGGTTTTCCCACTTAATAATGAGCATATGATAATAACAGCAAAAATCTAATAGGATATGTTTGTTGTCAAATCAGACTTGTAGTAGCAGAGATGCAGAAATATGCTGATTATTTCCCTTCAAAGAGCTAACTCCATCAATTCAGCTCATATATGCATGAAGAGTTATCCCCTAAAACAATGGCAAAGATTTATGATAACATTTGAACAGTGGTCTACATCTTGAAATATTTACATTCAATCATTTTCCTATTGTACAGCAGTGTTTTACAATACATTTCTTATACAATGTCACCTTGTCAAACATAAAATGCCAATTTGAAATTCAGAAATCTTAGTAGTCCCAGGAAGGATGGTTTTAAATACTTATTTGGACCCTTTCAATTATAGCCGCCCTTGATCTGAAGCTTTTCCTTGGCTTTTCTGAGCACTAAGCTTTAATACATTTCAGCTCTGCTTAGTTTTGGCATTTTACAACTGTGTTGGGCATCAATCTCACTTCTTCCAACTCTGAAATACAATGTCAGTGCCTGTAATTCTAATATACACAAAAAAAACATTTTTACATTTTCTGAAAGAGAGTGACTGAAAAAGAACACATTCAAAATTTACTGCTTTTACCGGGGATTATCTTGTTTTCATTATTTCATCAGGAAAGAGTACTGGGTTCAGCTCAGAAAACAATTTTTGAGTACCTACTTTAGCTTAGGTGGTATATTTGGAGCTGGACACATAAAGCCAAAAAAAGACTGTCCCATTCCCAAGGGGCATAAAATAGCTCCCTTAAGTTTGTTCTTATCACTAAGGAAAATTCTATCTTTCAGGGAACAACTTAAGAGCCAATAAGCATAAGCCTTACGTTCTAATCCCATGAAGAATACCTTATTTTCTCCCCAAAATTATTTTCAAAAGTCTTTTCTTAATCTTTATTGATGACTTCTATATTGACCCAGCACTAAGAATTCAGGGATTGTCTGTTTGCAGGAAGATACTTGAGAAGTGACTTCTAAAAATTGTTTTTACCTTGAGTTTAGGTTTCTCTTGCTCTTTTCCCTAATTATAAAAAATTATTACAATGAAGAACATGTACTAAGTGTTTAAAAAAAGAAACTACAAAGGAAGAAAAGGAGCCAACAGTAATTGCACCTCTTCAAGTCAACCACAAATTTCATACCCCACTTAATGCCCATCACCTTCTAAACCTCTCGCTCAGTTCACTCCCCAGCTCAGTCTCTACCAGATCACAGCTCTCTTGTCACTGAAGGAATAAAGCAGAGGCAAGGGTAAATATAGAATCATAAAATCTCAGGATTAGAAAGGACTTTAAAAGACATGATTGCTGAATATTGATCTACACAGTGCAATTAACTGAATCCCCAGAGAGAGCACACTCCCTTCAATTTCTAAAAAACAAAGCAAAAACCATAGGAATAACAAAAACAAAAGCAACCATAATAATAAGTCTCCCCATTTTAAAGACAAAGTTTACTACTGTATTTGGTTAAACGAATGATGGGGATTTCTCTTCTTTGTTAAAAATATCCTGGCTTATAAATGTCGTACTTGACAGAAGTGTCGTTCTGTAACAGAATTTTTTTAAAAAGTGGACAAAGACTTTTAAGTGCATTAAGTAAACAGGTTTGTGAGTTCTTGATCATAACTACTCCATCAAGTAGCCCATGCTTTTAAATGGAAAAACTGTGCAGCATGTTTATTTAATGCAAACGTGACAGCTTTACATTTGCCTACCAAGATAAAATTTTTTTACATTTGCCTACCAAGATGCAATTTTTATAAATGTAAAAAAAATGTTTTACATTTGCCTACCAAGATGCAATTTTTACAATAAAAGTATCCTCAGATGAAAAATAAAATAACTTAAAATTAAATAATGCTTCAAGATAGGAAGTCCACTGTTACCAAAGGAAGTCCTTGGAAACTCCAAGGTCTATGGTCTATATACAGAAAGACTAGTCACAAATACAGAATGCTTTCCCAGATACTGGCAGCTTCTGTTATCAGGTTTTAGCTTGAAATTTCAAACATACTGACATAATGTCATTTTAAGACACCATGCATGCTCCTATGTATTTTTTTTTTTTTTTTTTTTTAAGAAACGCGGTCTCACTATATTTTCCAGGTGGTTTCGAACTCCTGGACTTAAACGATCATCCCATCTTGTCCTTCCAAAGTACCGAGATTAAGAACCATCAAATGGTTTGGAGTTGAAGTCAATGATAGCCTTTAGCATATTTTTTGGTTACTTCAGAGACAAAGCTGAAGTGCTCTGAGAACTCACAACAAAGACCAGCAACAGAACATACATGAGAGGGACAAGCAGGCAAGCTGATGGAGGTAGGCTATTTTCGAAAAGGTCATGGCCCTCAATTCCCCAAAGGTTCATTTCAATACTCTGCAAGTCTATATAATACTTTCAGAGATCAGACCTTTTTGCCATGCTAATGAGGGAACTGTGCTAGCGGAAAAACTGACAGGAATTTATACTAAAAGCCATGGAACTGATCAATTAGTTAATCAATCCATGTAATTTGTTTTCTGTCTCTCACATTAGAGTAGAAGCTCAAGGAGAGCAAAGAATCTGGTTGTCTTGTATTTATTCACTGCTAGGTCCCTAGACCTTTAAGATATATCAGTGCTTTACATTAAGACAGAGCCAACACCCCAGGATAAGCTAAAGGTCCTTGGTCTGCTTTTACATGTATTATGACAATCACTGTATTATTAAGCTAACTACGTTATAAATCTGTTTACTTTCTTTTTTTCACTGATACCCAGGAAAGTAAGAGATGGGCATATATACAGTATAGCTTTTTAACTAGAGGATTGACATTCTATACTGCTCCACCTGAAAACCTTTACCTTAGTAAAAAGTCTGCAAATAAATGAGACTTCTGAGATAGGTGTTAGGAGATTTTTTAGCTTATTCAAGATACTTATATTAAATTTGGCAAAGGGTAATTTACTTTATCATTAAAAAATAACAATTAGGGATACATCTCTGATGCTATACTTCCATAGAAAACAAGGGGGATAAAAGCTTATTTATCTTTGGGTTTTAATACTCTCATATTCACACTAATTCCAGAGTACATAACATTAAATGACACAAGGCAAGCCAGAGGGATTTCTAATATCATTTACCATACTTCCTTTTCCTGAGCAAATTTCAAAATGGAGTATTTTTATAAACATTCCATTAGAGACCAAAGGCTTTGATTTTCAAAGTAGCAGTGATGGCCAAAGGCTTCATTATGCCAGAGAAAACACTGTAGAGCAGTTTGGGAGCTGCAACTGATATGGGAAGTGTATTCTGCCAGAATCCAGCAGAAACTTAAAGGATTTTTCTACTTGCAATGCTAACAGATGCATACATTCTAGATAAAAGGATGAAGGCTCTTCTCTTCCAAGCAGCTAAAAAGATACAAGATCGCTCCCGACCTATTGTTTTGACCTTTGAGGCTCTGTAACTAGAGTAAGAGTTTCTCTAACAACAAAAAATTCCCCAAACCACATTTTTCCATAGCCCATCACATAGAAAGAATGAACTGTGTTTGAAGAGAGTCAGAAGAAAGCAAATGTGGTAAAAGAAATAAATGCCAAAAATGGGTGTCAAAAAAACTAAGCTCTAGTGCTAGGCTGTTATTAACTAGTTATGAACTTTTGAGTAATTCACTGTCTCTCTGGTTCTCAAGGGCAGCTCCAACAAAAGAGATAAATGTAGTAAGCTCAGTGGGTTGCCAAAACTACCAAACTTCAGACTACCAAACTTGTAGTCAGTACAAGACTGAAATGCAGACATTTCACAAATATAGATAATCAAGAGAGAGAACTGGTGTAGCAAAGAAGTAAAAAATGGCTGGGCTCGGTGGCTCAGCCTGTAAAAATCCTGTGCTTTGGGAGGCCGAGGTGAGTGGATTGCCTGAGCCCGCAGGTTTGAGACCTGCCTGGGAAACTTGGTGAGACCTCATCTCTACAATAAAAAAAAAAAAAAAAAATTAGTCGGGCGTGGTAGCACACGCCTGTAGTTCCAGCTACTTGAAAGGCTGAAGAGGAAGGATCGCCAGAGCCCAGCAGATTGAGGCTGCGGTGGCCAGGAGCAGCCACGGCACTCCAATCTGGGCGACAGACTCCAAATCAAAAAAAAAAAAACCGAAGTAAAAAATGGTAACTCTGGGAGTGAAGAGAGGAACCTTCATCCTTTTATCTAGAATGTATGCATCAATGTAGTTATGCAAGAAACAGCTGACCATGGGAATGTTACAATGATGCCAGTCTGTTCAAGAGACTCTAGATATGCCATAGGGACTTTGTAGAGGCAAATTTTCTGACACAGATGAGAAAAGTAGTTGTGGCAAAAAGGGATGACAATATCTAGAGAAAACGATGGACTGACAAAAAAACTTCACATTAAAGCAATGTGGAAACATTTCACAACATTGAGAACACAAAGGATACAATGTTTGAAACTGATGCAAATTTAGGAGTGTGACAATTCATCAAAGTATCAGAAAAGATGCTCGCTTGGTGTCACAAATTACATGATGAGAAGGTAAGCACTATTGAAATTATTCTTCTGAAAATTTTCCCCCAAAAGCACTTTAATTCTCAATGTTTTTAATGTTTCAAATTGTACCACATAAATATTAATTCACAAAATATTAGTTTTACCGTTTTTTCCATATACGTTTATAACTAAGAGTTAATGTTTTGACAAAAATTGTTAAAGGCTATAGAACAATCGTGATTTTTCCCTTTAATTATTAAGACTGCTTTGTGCAGATTTAGTTTGCATAGTAGTTATTATGGTCCTGTACCACTGTGCAAAGTGAGGATTA